ATGGTCAGCTTGGTTTGATCTGATATAGTATTAGGACGCAAAAAAGCAAATTAATTTAAACCAAAACTTTTCTAGATCCATTTTTCTTTTCAAAGCAAACTGCACGTGCTATGACCTTTCAAAGCAAACGGCCCGTACAAGAAACGTCACTGGTTTGATACCAGCAATTAAACTTTTGTCAATTTTACGAGAAAATTGACAAACACACCTACTCTACAATCTCTTGTTTTTGCTACTCTACAGATAATTCTACTCGTGGTTCTCAGCTTTTTTATTCCTTTTGATCCTTTTAAAGGAACAATGGTAAGGAGCGCTTTCTAAAGGAACAATACCTGGAAAAACATTTTTGACTGACAATATGATTATATTATTTCGTTATTAAAAATTCAACTTTGGTATTTTCAACTTATTTCATACACTTTTCTGAAAGAAGAATACCTGGCAAAACTCTGTTAGTCTGTTTTCTAAGTATTGAGTTAAAAACTTCTTTTTTGTCAAATATTTGACCTTTATACTTACCCCATCTTTTTTTTCTGTAAACTTTTAAATTTTGCTCTGCTTTTTCGGTCGGATTTCGGTTAGAAAGTTTTCAATCGAGTTCCAAAATATTGCCACTGGAAGTTATGACATCGAAAGTTTCTACAGTAATTGGTAGATTACTAATTTAAATCAGAAAAGTAGGGCCAAAAACTGAACCCTGTTGAACACCACATTCCATTGTTTTGAGTCGGATATATTCTTTTTGTTTTCAAGCTACGGCTGTAGTAAATCAATTTTGAGCGTTTTCAAGGCCACGGATTTTTTGTTGCAAAACAAGAGTATGATTGACCGTATCAAACGCTTTCGATAGATCAACAAAACAGAGATAACCTAGATTTCTGCACTAGTTTTTTTTCAAATTATCTGTTGAAGAGGAAGCTTCTAACTCACATATGATCGGTTTCATTTGTTGAATTTGTAATTGTTCTTTTTGGTCATTTCAACCCAGAGAAGTTTTCTTTTGAGCTCTTGCTTTTGGTTTAAGTTTTTACAACTTTATGTTGGTCATTTCATTAACCTTATTAAAATTTTGTTTCTTGTTGTGTGCAATTCTTTCGCTAAATGTTTTTCCATTTCCTCAAAAGCTTTGTTATTTTGTTCTATTTCTACTTTACGTTTTATTTTTGTGCCACCAAAATATTTTGATTGAGAATTAATAGTTTTCGACTGACAATATGATTGTAGTATTTTGTTCTCAAAAACTCACGTTTGATATTTTGAACTTCTTTATACAGTGCATTCAGAAGGAAGAATACCTGGCAATCTGGCAATGCCTTGATCGTCTTTGGTTTCTAAGTACTGTTTAAACCCCTTTTGTTCTTTGACGAATTTTTGAATTTTCTTCCTACCCAATCCTTTCTTTCTGTACTTTTTTTCAATTTTGCTCTGTTTTATTGATCCGATTTTATTTAAAGACTCTTGAATCGAGTTCGAGAAAGTTTTTTAGCAATTCGTCAAAAAAATACTGCAGTGATTGAACTCTCAGTTCTAGTAAGCCTGTGTAGACTAAAAAATTTGAATCTAGTCGAACTTCTCTTTTGTCTAACCGTTTGGAGTTTCTCAACATCGGGGAGTTATTTCCTTAAAACTTTTTATTGAAATTTTTCTTTATGAGAAACCTTCTACTCCCATTTGTTGTTTCTGAAAGATAGATTTTCAAATCGCCTTTCACGCTTTTTTAACGTTTGATTCGATAGCTTCAACATCTGTTCCTGTAAATTATCTAGAGTTTCTTCAATATCAAAAGTAGGCGTCTGGTAAATAATTCAAATTAAAACACTTTTTTTTCAAAAGTTTTCACTTTCATGGTCATCATTTGGACATTCTGAAGGTTTTTGTTGAGCTAAAATTCTAATTTTTTTTTGATATTTTGACGTATATTTCTTTTCCACTAGAGTGGTTTTTCTATTTGCCATAACTCGATTATGGTAGTTTGGAATATAGATACACATTACATTTGATTCATTCTTACACCAGAGTTCAATTAGTGCCGTAGCTAATGGTGTTTGAGGCAAATTACTAATAAGTGCTCCCAATTTCTGAAAGTCACTCTTTAGTGATCTAATAATTTGTAGAAAGATTGATTTCATCATCAGTTTCTAACTTGTTTGTATGATAGCCGTCCAAAGAAAGTTCCGTTTTAATTTCTGTGATAATTTTCCCCCTTGATCTCCTATGCTTTTTACACCTGTTTTTTGTATAACTTGTTTGCAATTGTGATCGAAATTATTCGGTAACTTATTGAGTTCGAAACCTTCAGTAACTTATTGAATTAATGTTTTTATTCAAGTTCAGTTCAATTTTTTTAGTGAAAAGATTAACTTACATTCTTCAACGGCGAATGCAAAACTGGAGCACAAAGGTTTTAAACAATTAGATTTTTCTGCGGAACAAAAAAATGCTTTTTGACTCAAGTATTTCATATTGCGTCAATTTTATCTTCCATAAATCTTTCGTGAAAATTCAAAAATTTGAAAGTCATTTATAATTTAATTTTTTCTAAATGTTTGATGCCTATGGTGTGTTCCTGCAAAAAAAAATTTGATTGAACTCTTTATTATCAAATACTGAAGTTTTCATTGCCAAGTTTCACAGTGTTTGAGTTTCATTCGTGCTTGTTGTAAAATCAAAAATGTAGTAAGCTTAGAAACTTAGAATAAATGTAAATAGCAATTGGTTCGAAAATTAAATTTTGATTGTTAAGTTTCTCAGCGAATTTAAAAGCAAACAAGACTGCTCGTATCAGGGCGAAGCCCTGAATGTTCCGACTGCCTTTTAAGGTTTATGGAGCAGAAGTAATAGCATTAAAAAATTAAATGAAAAAAAAAAGGAAATTTTTTTTCTTAAATTTGAAACTTTTTATGAAAATCATCCCCCCACACGCCATATAAAGTACAAAAAGAGAGATTTCGTTCCTTGTAACAAATCAATTATGGCAAATAAGCGTCGTTCAACCAATTTGGAACGATTTATAAGACGGATTAAATCTCCGCTTACGCGTTAATAGCGCCAATTATATCGTGCGTTAATTGTCCCAAATTGCTCAAAATGACCAAAATGGCAATCTTTAAACCCTCATAACTCTACGAAAAATGATCACAGGTGAAATATCTTTTCAAATTTAAGCTCAGGACAACAATATCTTTTGAATGATATAAAAAAATTCCGTCAAAAATGGCTAGTTAAAAAGTCGAAATTTGTCTGAAGAAAAAAAAACCCACCCCGAGCACAAATATTCCGTTACTTTCGTACCGAAAGTCGGAACAATAACTTATGATCTAGTTTTGAGAAAATGAATTAGTTTTATCGAGTTTGGCGCAATCAAAAAAGATTCTTGAAGTTCAAACGGTTTTCAATTGATATAATTGTTTTTGTACAAGTCGAAAGATAAGTTTCTAGCTTGTTTGTATGATAGCCCTCCAAAAAACGTTCCGTTTGTTTTCTGTGATTGTTTTTTCCCATGATCTCCTACGCTTTTTGCACCTGATTTGTGTATATTTTGTTGGCAATTTCATCTTCTCCTCGTTGATCCGCTTCTCCTCCACGGACTCCTATAACTTCATTGCGTTTTTGTTCCTCGCTTCTCGACTAAGATGCTGCAAATTTTTATGTGCACGTCTGTATCTTAACTAAAACAATTAAAAGAAATAAAATTTATGTTGGATTAAAATATCTGTTCTAAGACCAATATCTGTTCTATTTTTGAACAGTGAATGGTCCTTGAACAGTCGATGAATTATGTGACAGGCAGATATCAAATCAATAACGATGGTCAACTAAAGTTAGTTTTTAAAACAAATCACAACAAACTGAAAGTCACCTGTTTTCAAGTCAAAAAATTTTCAGGTATTAAAATTGCGCACTCATGTTTTTTGCCACAGATAATAGGCATTTTTTTTTTTATAAAAACGGAGGTTTTGGTCTTGGTTTAGCCCAAGTTATGACTAATTAAATTGTTAGAAAATGTTTATTTTTCTTTAAGTTATCTTTGTTAAGCTTAAGTTTTATCCAAACTCAATGAGAGTCGTAGATTGTTTTGAGAACGTATAATCGGGTTTAGTTTCAGCCACTGTGAAACTTTTTCAAGTTTTCAGAAAACATTTTGCTGATGAAGAAGTGTGTTCAATTTAGTTTGATATGCTCCCATTTTTATGGAAATAGGATATTGAAAAAAAAATGTTACTTTTGTTGTGGAATTTTGTTACCAGGTTTAATTTTCGTAATTTCTATCATTTTACATTACTGGGCATAATAGGGGCTCTTTGTAGAAAGTGTTACCAGGTTTAATTTTCGTAATTTCTATCATTTTACGTTACTGGGCATAATAGGGGCTCTTTGTAGAAAGTGAAATACAAGGTTATTGATATTTTTTTCGATGGTTTCTGAAAGAATACATCGCCGGGAGGCTTAATTTTTTTCTTAGTTTTTGCTAAAATACGTTTCGCTTGTAGCTGAGCCAAAAATTTTAATGCTGCAGAACGAAAGACATTTGGTTTTTGAATATATTTGTTTAATTTGCCGATATTATACAGTTTTTGTGGGAAACCATTGATTCAATGCAATCGCAATCAAAGCTGCAAATCAATCCATTTGTTCTCAAGGTTTTCTAAAATCGAAGTTGCGCATCGCCAGATGGAAATAAACAAAAAGAACTGTTTGCTTTTCGTTTTAAATAATTCACATCATGTTTATGCATACCACTGGTCTTCCGCAGCTGGCCATTCTTTTATGAATTATAAATTCAACTAGGGAAAAAATTGCTTTTCTTTGCTCCACGAAAAATGATTTTTCAAATATTACTTTTCATAAATTTTGTCGTTTTTTGCATCAGTTTTGAGAAAGAATTTTGCAAACAATATCAAGATATTTCGTCTTGTGATTACTTGATACCGAAGAGCCCAATTCACTTTACTTCCACCGTCACTCGCAATGGTGTCAGCCAATCACAATGTTTGAACGCGATGGAGCGATTTGATTGGCCAATCGGAGTGTTCTGCGAGGGCAGTGAGTTTTGTGGATTTGGGTTCCACCTCGATGCTGATTTTACTTCCGTCACCACAAGTGATGTCGCCGCCATTGCCGAAGTTTGCCGGGTGTTTATTGATAGAAGACAGACAAGCTGCGAGATCTTCAAATCTTCTCTCTATGAAAACGGCATTCTAAGAGGTAAAAAAAAATACTTTCGGCTATTTAACTTGTAAGTTTCATATTTTATTAATTGGTTTGTAATTGGTCAAATCCTAGCCTTCACTAAATCCACCCCCTTGATTGCAGTATAACCAAAAAAACCGGTGCTTGCTCGTTTTCCACCACTGAAATCCATTTTTAATGCCAAACTGATGGCATATTTTGACGTAAGGCTGCCTAAAACAGAATAATATATTTTTATATAATTTTCGGCGCTTAAAAAATTGGAATCCTGAAAACTACAGATTTTTTCTTAAATTTTTCCTCATAAAAGAACAGAATATTGCCAAGAGTTTCTAAAAGTCACAAAATTTCCCAAAACTGAGTTCAAGAAAACGCATATTCTTCACAATTTAGAGAGTGACTGGACTTGCCTTGGCCATGGGTTAGAGTTCTGCTTAAAAGAGATGAAAAAATGTGTCGACGTTCTTGGGGGATTTATGTGTGTGGGATGTCTGCAAGGCTCAGAAACAGACCCAAATGAGAGTCGACTGTGCAAAGGTGGTATATAATAAAACTAGCAGCTTCGATTTTTCTCTACTACCGGCAGCTTTGGTTGACTTCCAAATGAAAAATAATTAGGTACACCAACGAACTTGGCTATCTTTGCTCACATATAATTTGCTTAACTGAGTTCATTGCTTCAACCATAAGATGATGGGGAACATTATAAAGGACCCTCAGTTGTGGTCGAATTGGTTGAAACTTAATTGAAGCTCCTTCACTCCGGAATGGAATCGAATGTTATATAGAACTCAAAATGCAACCTCAATGCTTTTGGAGGGGAATAGTGGTACGTTTGTTCTTGAATGAGCTGAAACAATTGTTCAGGTAGTGACTGAACGGGTTTGTTGAAGGACGGTACCTGCTGACCTCTGTTTACACTTTGTATTGCATGTTGAATTACTCTTAAAAGAAACACTCGTTGAAAACTGCCCTTGTTGAGAGATTACAGCTGCATTTAAAGTCTGATTTTAACTTATTCTTGTAACTCTAGTAAACGAAACAATGCTCATTGATAGAATCTTTGTTTCAGTTGTTAGAAACAAAAGAATTAGTCTCAGTTCTGATGTGATCATAGATTTAAAGAATTGAGTTATAAGCAGATAACGTGTTATAAGCAGGGAAGATTAATTTAAGATTTATACATTAGATTTAGCTTTTCATCAATTGTTACTTAGTACAGAGGGGGGAGACTTTATTTTATTATTTTCTTACTATTACTATATTTGCAAGAGGACAGTGCACGTCTCAACCTTGGAGAATTGGTAGTCTTTGCGGGTGATTGTCCGTTGAAATGCGAAGAGACAAGAGGTGATTGTCTGCTAGTTAGGGTGTCTTGGTATCTTATTCGTTTTCATGAACTATTTTTTTTTTAAATTAAAAGATTGAGTGACAAAAAAAACAAAAAAATAAGTTTTTATTTAGAATGAAAAAGAGATGAAGTATGAAATTGTCTGTTGGGTTTAGGAAACTACAGTCAACCAAAAATGCAGGCCGGCTCATATACAGCTACTTCAGCTTAAATTTTTCTGTACCTGCTATTTAGACTTGAGTCCTTTTTTTCTATCATCTCCCGTACTTCAGGAGACAAACTTTTGCATTTTTATTGATTTCTAAAAATTAAAAATCATAATTTAGTTTGACTGAGGAATTTCATAAAACTTTCACTCGTCTTGGCTATTTAAAATTTCAGAGTAATGGGGTAGTCATCTGATATCAAAGTCATGAGCCACTGGCGTTCTGGATACTTATAAACTTCTTTTGATCATCCGTTAAAATTAACAAAAATTTTACTGTTTCTCAAAATTGATAATACTGGAAGAAAAAAAACAATTGGTTCAGAATTGTAAGGAAATTTGAAACTTGGGTTTGATTTTTTAAAGCTATAAGTTTAGTTCAGCTCATTTTAACGTTCAGTATTAACTCAAAATTATCTCGACAAGGGTAACTTTAGCGTTCAGTTATAATCTGGTTCAATTGTTGATGTAAAAAGGCATTCTATTTTTGAGATATGAACTAGTTGAAAGTCGAAAAGAGTCCACTCAGGTCTAAAGTAATCATTGTAAACAAAAGCCTTTTGATTCAGCATTTGCAATGCTACATATCTAAATGTTTTTTTTTTGCAGTATTGACTTTTGCCTTTTGACCCAGATCGTTGGAAAATTGAGAGACTCAATGACAAAAAACAATCATCAGATACTGCACTTAATTCTTAAAATTTTTGGCGTACCGGTTAACACTAGGAAAATCCTCATAGTTCTTGCCGAATATGCCTAAGTTTATCAGATTGAATGTTGAATTTTTTTTTGTCTAATTCCTTCATTTATGAATAATAAACAGAAAAATCTGAAGGAACCCTTGCAAGACGTGGAAAAATTTAATTAATTCCTGACTACTATGTTTTGATTGTGAGATACTTGACTGTTTTTGCTGATCTCTCCTTGGCTTGTTTGAACTTCAAAGGCTTGGAGACATCGGTTGGTGCCATTCGTTCGTCTTTGCGTGCACGCTCCTATAATCGGGTGTATGGATCGAGTTCACTTCGGAGCCTTCGAAAGCTGTCAATCAGCTGTATCTGTTTCTTTCATCACTCTCAGTTTTTCTAAAAAGTTTTGATATATGCAATGAGCTGTACAATTACATTTAAAAGATTGTAGATTGATCTCTTGATCATAATATCGAAGTTTAGTTTTCTTACAAACATCTATACGAAAAGTCGCCCTTAACCGCGGTCGAAATGGTGATCCTCGGTCCGGGAAAGCCAAAACCTCGGCGCGGGATAGACACCTTGGGTTGGGTCAGTCGAAGCATATCAGACCTGGGTTGAGTCGGTCGAAACATCGATTGCAAACCTTGAGTAATTTTGCGAACCTTGTTTTAGAGTTGCGCAAAGTCTCAATATGTTATATTTGGGTCGGGCAAACTCGCTCAAACGTTTTTGTCGTGCAAAGTTGCAACATACCCAATTTGTGTCGCAATAGTCGCAACGTACTTTTTTTTGGATCGCGCAAAATCGCACATATTGCTTTGTTCGCACAAAGTTGCAACATAACTATTTTGAGTCGCACTGGTCGCAGCATACCTGACTTGGTTCGCAATAGTCGTAACAAACCCATTTTGAGTCGCAATGCTCGCAATATAAGTCCCCGACCTCGACCCGGGCGGCATGTAACTAGAAGCTTTTCTGTGATTTGCATTTATTGGTAATGTTGCAATGATATTTGATTAGAATTGAAGAAAACGTGGAAGAAAATTAAGGGTTACCCTTTTGTAGAAATTGATCAGTAAACAAATATGCCGAAGATCATTATATTTTATTACACTTAATGCTTTCATGTTATTACTGCTCCATAGACCTTAAAAGGCAGTCGGAACATTCAGGGCTTTGCGCTGATACGAGCAGTCTTGTTGAGTTTGTTGTTGTGTGTTTTCGTAATATTTGATAAGAGGAAGAATGTGTGCAAACATTTTCTGCCGATGGCTCTACAAATAGACTTTTATTGTTCCGACTTTCGTAACGAAAGTAACGGGGAATATTTGTGCTCGTAGTCGTTTTTTCTTCAGACAAATTCGACAAATTTCGATTTTTTAACCAGCCATTTTTGAGGTGAATTTTTATATCATTCAAAAAACTTTGTTGTCCTGAGATTAAATTTGAAAGGAGGATATTTCGGACCAAGTTAACATCCTCCCCCCAAATCCATTTAGGGGGGAGGATGTTAACTTGGTTCTGAGTTCGAACTTTCAGCCAATCAGAATAGGAGCACTTTAAATTTTACATGCAGCGCTAAATAGATTTAAATTAAAATGAACGCTGTGTTGGAGGATCTTAACTTGGTATATTGGGGGGGGGGGGAGGAGGAGGATGTTAACTTGAGCCGATATTTCACCTGTGATCATTTTTTCGCCGATCGAAAAATATTTTTCAAATAACATTTTTTTACCCCATTGAAGATATCGACTTCCTGAGGTCACATATAAAACTATTTTACCTCCAATTATTTTTTGTAAAGTTCTGGGGGTTTGAAAATTGCCAAATTTGCCATGTTCTGGACTAAATTATGCGCACTTTGAAGAATTTATTCATTATGCTGAGAGCATAGCATGAATTATTTATGCGTGGCAAATTATTCCGCACAACAAAATTGTTCCAAACTGAAGTGAGGCAAGCTAATCGGTCGTATTAGCTTCGCCCTGATACGAGCAGTCTTGCTTGTTTCTAGCTTTAAAACATGGGCTAAAATGCAGCTTAGATTTGAGGGTTAGGTAGGAGCCGCTCAAGAGTTTAAGTACGCCCATAAACGTCAGTACTTTTTTCAGTGTGCGTAAAGGTTTTAAATCGAGTAGAATTAACTGCAGTTACTCTTTAAAACAACATATTTCAACAATGAACACAGTGAGTTCACAGATGTCGACAAGCACCACTGTTTGTGAACAAATCTAAACCAGTTGCTTTATATTCAAATCAACAATTTTTCAGTTCATTCCTCAGCAAAGGTACAGCACCGCACTACCGTTAAGCAGGTCAACTAAAAGTTATCTGAACTCTAAATAGCGAAAGATTCAGCATTGATTAAAGGAGTTTCTAACTCGAATATCTTAAAGGATTGGATGGGGGTAACCCCTCACGCCAACTCCTCGAAAGCTTGCAAATAAAGATTGCCAGGCAACAATTAGAGTTTGAAAAAACTAAGCAAAAACTAGAGAATCATTTAGCTTTTGACTATATAAAATACGTTGATTGGCTGAGAAACTTTTGCGCATTCCGTGCGTCTGACATTCTCATTTTCAAGAAACTCATTTTGAAAAATCTCAAAATCTCAATAATGATAACCTTTTTGATTCAGATGTCAATGAGTGCACGTTGGGTTTCTGTGGCGAGCAAAATACCAGCTGCGCCAACGCAGATCTAAGCTATTCTTGTCAATGCGAAGAAGGATTCAATTTTGATGATGGAAATTACGGTGCCAAATGCGAAGGTAATAATCGAAGACTGAACACAATCCAGTATCATATCATGCTCAATGAATAAAATTATTTTGACCTTCATTCGCAAGAATAATTGTATCTTAACACCTTGCAGATGGGGTAATTTCAAATTTTACAATTCAAGTGGTGTAAATCGCGAGCGAAACTTTTTGAACATTAAATTGGATTCTTTGTTGAGCGTTTGTCCAACTATTTTAGACATCAACGAATGTGACGCTGATATATGTGGAACTAATTCCGTTTTTTGTACTAACACTGCAGGAGACTACATATGTGGGTGTGACATTGGATTTCATTTTCGTGAAGATCCTTATGGGTTATCGTGTGAAGGTAATATTTATGAAACTTTTCAAACTGTTCTTGTCAGATTGAGTTAGCACGACTGGTAAGTAATCCACCTATACCGTTATCACATGAAACTTCAACGAAGTTTGTAAATAAAACGAAAGAAGGCTTGAGTTCAATGGGTTCATTGTCATATTTACCCTTGCGATAAGCAAGGGTGGTGCAACTAGGATAATGGACTTTTTTTCCCGTAAACAACTTTGTTCGCAGGATGGCTCAAATTGGTAGTCATATCCAAATCCAAATTAGCAGTCATATCCAAATCAGTATTTTTATCAATTAATGTTCAAACTTCGAGCATGTTTGTATGTTAAATGACCTTTTTATTCGACACCTGATTTTCTGTTGGTTGTTGATTTACAGTTTTTCAGTATATCAGTTTTTTTAGTTATATTTTCTTCTCTTGTTTCCTTTATTTGGCTTAAAAGGTTTCGGTTGATATTATGTTAGCTTCGGACTCATTTCGAGTCATTTAATGAGCAAAAAAATGTAGTTATCTAAATGCTTTTGGGGGATTTAAAAATTTTGATTGAGATTCTTATGAAAACAATTTTTTCGGCCCAACGTAAGTCTGCTGATGTATTGTCGGCTTTGTTACCGCTTTTCAAGTTTTATTTCGATGCTCAAATAGCATTTACTGTTTTTCTTTGACATGATTATCTCAGAAGGAACTTTATTTACGACAAACTCAAGACAAAAACATGAAAATCTCGGTAGACATTTTTCTGCGTTTTTCGTCTTTTTCTCCCAGTTGCTTTGCCCTGTTACATTTATGTTGTATCGCAAGGGGTGCGAAGCTAGGCTTCGTCTCTGTATGGTAAATTGTATTCAACAATTTTAGTTGAAGTTCAGAAATCCATCCTATATCAAATAATTCCTAATAGCATAAATTTCTAGATGCATTTTCTAAGTGTTAATTAGATCACGAGTTATTAGATTTTCAGACATCGATGAGTGTAGCGATTCTTTGTCACCGTGTGGAGGCAATTCAGACTGCATCAATACTGTAGGAAGTTACGACTGCCAGTGTCACAGGGGGTACAGAACAACTGAGACTACTCACACTGACTGTACAGGTTATATTAGCAGTGGTCGTAACCAGAAGTGCATTTAAGGGAGCGGACGCCTCCCCCTCAGGTATTCGATCCCCTGCTGACGCAAAGCGTCCCCTTTTGCACTATTTTGAGATATGCATTTTCGGCTGACTGACCCTATAACTTTTCTAAAGGCGCCTTTGGCGCCAATATATACTAAATTTGAGAGGAGGGGAGCGCGCGGTGCGGAAAATTTGCTTGCGGTGCAAAAAAATTTGTTCAAATAATTTTTTATAGAGATTTTGGAAAACTTAGAAAATCAATTTGGTAGAAAATCATAGATCCGCCCCTGGTCGTAACCATGACCAAATAAAATATCGGTTTCCCCTCAATTTTGCGCTATGAGATTATTACGATTAACCGATTTGAAAAATTTAATTTAATTTAAAAAAATTAAACTGAACAAAAAATGTAGTAGGAGTGAAATAAATCATTTACTTCACTTCAAATCTACACTTGGATTAGCAAGTGCTCTCAAAGTGGAATGAAAAGGTTATTTTTTGTGCTAACAATTTGTGTTGAAAAATCAGTGAATCATTTTCTCAGCTGACTTTAAAGTAGTGCTGCAACAATAGTTCGAACGTTCGAACCTTCATTCGCGAGATTGACATTCGAATGCTAACGACGTTTGTGTTGCAACACTACTTTAAAGGTGTACCACGTGCTAATTTAGCCTTTTTGGCGAGGGACTAATGTCAATGCTTGAGAGGAAAAAGGCAATTGTTTCGATTCCAGCGAGAAGCAGATTTTTTGCAATCCTTTCCTGGGAGATAATTGGGCTCTTTTTGCGTTAAGCCCCCCTCCCACCTGCAATTTTTATAAATGATCTTTCTGGTCACATTGTCCCATTATTACAAAAACTCAGATTTCAGTATATCAGTTTTTTAAGTTGTTTTTGCTCTTTCTTCCATTTGAAAGGTCTCGGATTTTATAGTATCGGCATAGCGGCCTTATTTTAAATCTTCTGATGAGCAAAAGAAGGTTATCAAAATATTTTGAGCGGACTTGAAAGTATTTTATGAAAACTGTTTTTCTCGGATCAAAGTGTGTCTACTCCGGTATTGTATGTAATGTTTCAGTTTCATTTCGATATTCAATTAACATTAGATAGTCTTACCTTCCATATTTTCCTTAGGAGGAATTTTATTTCAGACAAAACCAAGACAAAGATGAAAATTTCGGTGGATCAATTTGTTTCAACAAATAAGATTTCGATTTTTTGTGCGAAGTCTTTCTCATTTTCTATCGATTAGTTTACAAAGCTAAATTTTTGTATGCGTGCAATGTGTTTTTTTCACCTCTGGCATCCGGTACAAATGCAGCGTTCTTGCAATAGATACAAATTTTTGAATAAAGCAAACGGACTTACAAGACATTTGCTTTCACAAGTGTTATTAGAAAATTATTGATAAATAATTTTGTGTCTTGATTTGTTATTACAGACGTCTTTTCATTGATTTTTTCTTTGCAGCTGCGAAAGCAAGTGTCTTGTAATCGGGAACTAAACTTTTTCCCATTAACAAGTTTTTTTTACAAATTGTTCTTGCTTTTCCTACTTGCTTTAGTATTGAACCTGATCAATTGACAGTTTCGTTCCTTGTTTTGTCTAGAGGTAACGCCGTTGCTTTTGCTCTCTAATGCCAGGGGTTCGAGTGCCGGCCGGAACTTGTTTTTTCACTACATATGCAATTGAAACATTTTTCCAGTAAAAATTGAACTGTCGTACTTTCGTTTGTCTTACTTGTCAATTATTGTCATTTTAGTTGCCACATCATGGATTTTTCTTGTTCTGTTCGCAAATTTTGTTGATGTTTTAAGTGCAAGTGTTGTTCAAAGTAGTTTCAGCGGGGACGTGAAACTTTTAATTTTTGTTTTCCCAAATTACTTTTTTTGGCTCAACTGGTACCTGCTCAAAATTGTCGGCTTCGTTGCCACGTCACGGTTTTTTCTTTTCTTGTGTTCTTAGAAAAAATTTAATGAATTTGCAAAAACAAGTGTTGTGCAATGTAGTTTCAGCGGGAAATTTAAACTTTTCAGTTTTTCCTTTTTTTTTCCGGCTTAACTGATGTTTGCTTAAAAGTTGTCGGCTTTGTTGCCGCAACATTTATTGTAGATGCGAGTGAAAGTGTTTTTCATTGTAGTTTCAAGAGTGACTTAGGGTTTTATAGATTTTTATATAAAATTACTTTTTCCGGTTTAAATGGTTGTACTGCACAAAGGTTATAGGCTTTGTTTCCTCTTTTTAAGTTTTAATTGCTAATTTAATATTGAGATGTTTGTCTAGAATGAACTTCTATCGAGTCGAGACACACGAAATTTAAATTCGCGATACCTAGTTTGTTTCAACGTTTCTCTTTTTTTTTTTTACTTATGATGCTCTTTCTGTTTGTGTTGTATCGCAAGTGATGCAAAGCTCCGCTTCGCCTCTGCGTAATATTTTTCTTCTGTTTCAGGTTTTGTTCGGCTGAATTAGTTTTGGATAAATCTGATATTAATTTTTGACATTATTTTTTGACAGTTTTTATGAGAGCGAAAGGAGTGTGCTTCAGGAGGAAGAATTCGAGTTGCAGAATTTATAGCTCAGATTGTTTTATGGTAGTTTATTTTTAACAACGGTTGTCTACGCACTAAATTTTGACAGCTTAGCTGGCACTCAATAGTTTTTTTCTGAATGCTAATTTAACCGTGTTGATAGTGTTTTTTGTAATGTATTTAGTCAAATTGTTTACTATTCGAGACAAACGAATAAAGTATAGTTTTTTGATGTGCATTTTTCCTCCGCCTCAATTTCTTCGCTTGGTTTGCCTCACAAGTGATGCGAAGCTCTGCTTTGCCTTTGCGCCAATATTTGTTGCAGTGATATCTTTTTTTTGAAGACTATACTCTTAATTGTAGACCAAAATTTTGGTAAATTTCACAAAAAAGCCAGCGACAAGTTCTTGCAATGAAAATCAGACATTAGATGAAGAAGTATATTGCTATTAAAGACATCAACGAGTGTGACGACGCAAGTGCTTGTGGAGGCAACTCCAGATGCTTAAACCTACCAGGAACTTATGACTGCCAGTGCGTTGACGGTTTTATGTCAATTTCTGGATCTCACGATGATTGCACAGGTTTCTTAATTCATAGTTCAATTCTTGACCCAGGAATAGTTGCAATTTTTATGTTACTTGAAATCCTGATGTAATTTGTTTTCAATTTTATCTATTTAAACTTTTGACAAATGCAATCACGCTAATGTTTGTGGAAGAAACTTCAAATGTACGAAGGGGCGTCGCTCTATTTACTTTCGTCGATTGAGCATAAAAGTCAATTTTTTATGTTTAAAGACGTAAATGAGTGCAACGCAGGCCTCTGTGGAACCAATTCAGACTGTACCAATCTACTAGGAAGCTACAGCTGCCAGTGTAATGCTGGTTTTGTGTCGCCTGCTAATTCTCAAACTGACTGCATCGGTAAGACTATTGAAATTATTTGTAGTAATTGCTTTTCAGTTTTTTTTAATAGCTTCAATAAGACTTGCACTCGGAAATGCATTTACTAAATGTACCATTGATGAAGCCTCGAACCATTTTCAAAAAGTTTTTTTTTATGCTTCGAAAAAAAATTGGTTTCAATCATTTTTCTAATTTTCAATCATCGATGAACGAAAACTGATGGACTAATTTTCAGACATCGATGAATGTGAAGAGATCTCAGCAGTAGATGCATGCATTTCATCCAGCTCGTCAATTGACTGCACAAACACACCTGGAAGCTTTGACTGTACTTGCAGCAAGTGGATGATCACACTACCTTGTTATAATACATAATCAGCGCGTTCCTATTAGATATTCCAATGAATATATCAATTTCAATTTAAAAATTGGCTGGCAGATAATTTTGTATCAACTAAAACGTCCTCAAGCTTTCAGCCTGCATTGACCTCCATACAAGATACATGCTTGTCATACAATTTCATATTTGGAGTTCTTGAAAAATTATTAGTCATGTAGTTTCATTCTATGATTCCAAAATTGGGGAAAATAATTTATCTTTTTTTTCTCGCAAAATCATTTCTATGCACCAAAAACAAAGTCCAGGTTTTCCACACAACAGAAACAAAAATCCGAATGTGTGTTTTGTGAGAAGCCAGAAATATTTTTGTTGTTTTATATGGTAAGATAAACCTAAAATCTGTCAAACTTTTTCATACACCGAAAAAATGCTAGTTGTAGAGTTTTAAACAAATTTCTAGACGCGTGAAATGGTTGTTACACAAGTAAGAAATTGTTTGACTAGCTTTTTTTCAATCGGGAGTTGAAATCACCTCTAGATAACCTATTAAAAGATATATCGTTATGCAGAAGATGCTATTTAGGCAGATCAGGGCAAAAGGATAAAAAGCAAAAGTTACATTTAAACAAGGACAGCCGGTTGCTTTGCATGCAGTAATAACACAAGCAAGCTAGCAAAATTTTAAGAGCCCATGGCGCAGATGCGAGGTCGTGAGACTCTCGAAGTTAAAAGTTCGAATCCGATACCTGGCATAAATTTGATTATTCAAGACTTATTTTTACTTTTTTTAAATTGAAAATGGGGAGCAGTTTAGGATTCGGGTGTGTTTTATTTTTTCCCCACGCAAAATGAGCTACCACAAATAATCATCGGTCAGGCTTCATATTAAAGTCCTTTCAGTCGTGATTCGAACAAGATTAATAAAGTTTTAAAAATATAAGTATCGAGAAAAACCGGTTTGAATTTTTTTAGTCTAATTTCGAGATAACTATTAAGATAGTTAGTAGTAGCAATAGCTTATTTGAGCTTAATTTAGGCCGTGAAAACTGATTTTTAGTCAGGTAAAGGTAGTTTTTGGAAAAATTTTTAGCGCAACTTTGGGAATTAAAAAGTTGAAAACTCTGGGAATTAAAAAGTTGAAAATTTGAAAAAAATGATTAAAAATTTTTTAAATTTTTTTTCGTTTCTCCAGTCATTTTTCTTCAAAAACTGTTTTCCAATTGACTTCTTTTTCTATGACTCTCAAATATGCCTAGGTTCTATTTTTTCGTTTAGATCTTTTTATCACACCGCGCCGAAAAAACGACACTAATTAAAAAAAAACTTTTTTATTTTTTTTAAGACTGGTCGAAACATTCTGTGCCACTTGCATAGTAACCAGTTATCCTTGTTTGACTTTTAGAGCTGCCTTTGTGATTTTTGCTTTTTTTGCAAAGTGCAGCTTCACTTTTGTGCTAAAATTTTATATATAATTTACAGCATGTATATCGGTTTTTGTGTCAGTAGCATAGAATGTTCCGACCACTTATCTATCAATTCTTTGTTCTAAGTTTTTGTGGTTGTTTGGGGTAAAATTACTGAATTTTGGACAGGCGACGCGCATAAAAATGTCTTCAATTTCTTTTTTTTTGTGGTTGGAACATGAATTGTTTTCAAAATTATTGTTCGAAATCACTGAGAACTTTTTCGTCTGCCTCACCCCCATCAATTCTTGAGCACAATTTTTTTAATCAAAGAGTCCCCTCTAAGGTACCTTTTCACTATGTACATTTTGTGAGAACCAAGTCCAATTTTTCTCAATAGCGCCTTTGACACCCTATCAAATTTACCATGCGTCCAATTAAGAAGCATGTTTTCTGACATATACACTGTCAAGTCGGAAACTTAAAAAACGCAATTTTTCAAAGCTCAAATTCACACCTCAATTTGAGGCCTCAATTATTGAACGCAACTTAACGCCTCATTTTGATGGGTTAAATGTTTTCACTTTTACACTTAAGCATTTAGCTCTTGTAATTGCAGTCTAATAACACCAGCCAAAAATTAGTATTAAAAGCTGATTTAAACTATCCTGACAAAACGAACGAAACTTGAAATTTCAAACGCTTTTTTTTCAAATTGGGTTACGATTAAACAAAAAGTGAAGAGATCAAAAGTTGCTTAGAAGATCAGAAGTTGCTTAGAATACCCACAGGTTAAGTTGCAACATTTTAGGGATAAACTGCATTTAAAGACTCGCCAACGTACTAACTTTTTTGGATTTAAATTAAGTTTGTAAGAAAAAACGTTGCTCTTTTTTAAGGCTACGAAATTTCTAGTTTGAAGTTTTTTTTGAAAAAGTGTGGGCTGTTGTTTGTGAAAGATTTTATCCTACAGTATGAGAACAAACAAATATCAATAAGGTTAATGTGATTTCACACGAAACATTGAATACGGCTTTTGCTCTTTAGAGTGAAATATTTGTACATAAAATAAAGATTTTAAAAGCTTTGCCCACTCATATGTGACAGCCAATGTCAATTACGTTCAACTGTACAGTGCTGATTTAAATTAACCGGACAAAACGCGTTAAACTTGAAATTTAAAACCCGTTTTTCTCAAATTGGGTTGAGTTTAGGAGAAAACTTATGAAGACAAAACTTGCTTAAAATTTTAGCAGAATTAATATGGTGTAATTTGTTTTGCGAATTTCGGGCCCAAAATTTTACCCCAAAAATGGGTTATGTTGGCTTTTCTTAGTTAATCAAAAATTACACCAAAAATACCCGGCCGATCAGAGAAATAATTATATCAAAGTGAGCCCATTACGTAGCCCAACAAGCTTTATGAATGGTGTTTTCTCCAAAAAAAATTGCAAATTGTTTAAAAATTGTTTTTAAATAAAAATTTGATATTTTTTATATAGTAAAAATGACCTTTTTTGTCTATCAAACAAAAATAAATTAACTTATACAAAATTTTGGAGAAAACACCCTTCATAAAGTTTGTTGGGCTACGTAATGGGCTCACTTTGGTATAATTATGTCTGTGATCGGCCGGGTATTTTTGGCGTAATTTCTGATTAACTAAGAAAAGCCAACATAACTCATTTTTGGGGTAAAATTTTGGGCCCGAAATTCGCAAAACAAATTACACCATTTTAATTCTGCTAAAATTTTAAGCAAGTTTTGTGTTCATAAGTTTTCTCCTAAACTCAACCCAATTTGATAAAAACGGGTTTTAATATTCAAGTTTAACGCGTTTTGTCCGGTTAATTTAAATCAGCACTGTACTTGCGATTTCTTTTTGCTCTAAGCGCCAAATGAGAGGAGAAATTTTGGATTCAAATGTTTTTGCTGCAAATTAATTTATCAGTATGAAACGTATTAGAAGTTAAAGTGTTGCATTAAAATTACGCTTCTCCAGTCATTACTCGAACTTCAAACTAAAAGTTTTTTTAAAACTCATCTAAGTGCCTTAATTTTTAAAATTCAGATGTTTCTCATCACTAGTAAAGTAAACGCAGATGCGACGCAGAGCTTTACATCAGTGGGATGCAACACAAGCACAGAATTGCCACCTAGTGATTAGAAAATCAGACGGAAATATTAAGTCAAAAATAAGAACTTGTTTTTCGAAAAAAAGCAAGAAGTTTTGGAACAACAGTCAAAAACACATACACAAGTACAAGTAAAAAAAATGAACTTTTAGTATTAATCAAGCGCGCACTCAGGCGACAACAAATGCGTAGACGTCCATTGAGACAAAAACTGAAAAAGCCCTAAGAACTGTTGTCATGAAAAAACATTTCAGCAATTAAATTTCAAAGAATGAAACCTTGTAAGCAGTGAAATTTATCAATTCATCAATTTTTTGTTTTGAAATGAGACACAATAAAAAAACAGCAGAATAAAAGCAAGTCGAAACTATTTATACCGGATGAAGCTTGAAAGCGAAAAAAGAACAAAAAACTAGGGAAAAAATTTAATTTCAGGCCTATCAATTTTACAAATGACAGTAGTCCGTTTCCCCAAATACCAGAACGAGTTATTTTTGCAGCTCTTTTCCGACGCATTGCCGTTTTTCATTTTTCATTGCCGAATTTTAACAGGGCACTGCTATTTAATGGGGCACTGTCGAAATCAGCCATGCAGTATTAAATAAAAAGCTCACTGTCTACTGAGAACTAGTCCTCGCACATTATCATTGACCCTGGTAGAGGATCGATTACACATTCAAAAGGGATCGAATGCATTTAAACGTTGATGACAGTTTTCGTTTAAAATAGAATTTTTCTGAAAATGTGTTAACAAAGAAAACTAAAAAAAGAACATTTTTCAAACTTGATTATCATAGAAAAAAATTACATCAAATAAAAGCACGTTGAATTTGAAGTATCCCTTAAGATTGACATTTTATACAGAGGTGAAGCCGAGCTTCGCACCACTTGCGATACAATTCAACCATAAAAAATATAAGTCGAAAGAGATTAATATGTTGAAAGAAAATTGGTGAACGAAAAATTTCGCATGTCACGGTGAAGGACACCTAGGGCCCAGTTAAAGCTGGAGGTACGTGTTTCGGTTTTTATGAATTTGTTATTTTTTAAGTGATGTGGAACGAAATCCGTAACTTCAAAAATTGCACTTAACCCAAAACCTTAGTTGTTTTCCAAAAAACTTCAAAATTTTCACTGGTTTGCAGGCCATAACTTCTTTCTGAAAGCAACTGGGCGTAGCAGATTATAACTTAAGCTTCCGATTACCTGTTGTGTCGATTAAACCTTATGATATCAGATTAGACAGGATAGTTATCAAACATCCAAAAAACGGTGAACAAATCAGAAAGTTGACGTTTTCAAGAACCATAGCAATTTGTTCAAAAAAAAATTGGGCGTAGCCACTTTTGCAGATGAAATTCTCTCAAGCAAAGATTTCGTTGGAACCCAAAAACCAAGGTTTTGCAGGGTAGTTTTCTAAAAACGTCAAAAATTTTCAAAACACGATGAAAAAAATAAAATTTTGATTTGTCCTAGGGCCATAGTTTTTTCTGACAAAAAATAGGGCTCATTTGCGTAAGCAAAACAGTTTCCATCAACCCATTTTTTGGATTGAACCCAAAATCTCAGATATGGGAGGGTATTTTGACATTTCGGAGGACGATAACTTATTCTGTAAAAATTGTGAGTGGCCGCTAAAACATGGGAGTTTTTCACTACCCATTATCTCCATTGATCTAAGAACCTGTTGGCAGATAAGTTTTCGAGAAAAGAAGAAAAATCAAAAACATCGGTCAAACAATCAACCCATAGACTTTTTTGAAGGCTGTAGACAAAAAGATAAAGCAAAAGGAGATCACAGAAGTGAGCAGTCTTACAAGAATGCAGGCGGTCTTTCTATGGATATACTTTCTTGTAAATCGGTCACAAAAATGTTAGCGAAAAACTGAAATAAAAAACCCAATCCCATACACTTTCGTAATACCTGTTTTATCAAGCAGGAATTCTAGGCAAACATGCCATTTAAAACATTTCAATTAAGAAAACCGTATGAAGCGTAAACAAGGCCGATAATCTTTGAGCATACACCAGTTGAACCGAGAAAAAAACATTTTTTTTGTAAAACTTTAAGAAGTCCCCAAGAAACTACCCTGAATACGAGTACCAACCTAGTAGCCAGTAGTTAATTTTTAATTTTCATGAAATTGATCAAGTCAGCACAGCAGCATCACAAGTAATAGCAGCATCGAAAAAACTTCAACTGATTTTGCTAAACTAATTGTTAAACACAAAAAAGTCTACATTCCGATTTGATAATGCTTGGTAATCGCAAGTGTAAATAAAAAAAATTCACTGGAAAAAAGACTAGTTTTTAGTTACAAGACTCTAGCTCACGCAAGTCTAATAACCTATTAATAACCTATGCAGTTTTTAACATAATATCAGTAATTCAAAAGGTTTCAAAAGTTCGCCAATAGCCCAGCAAAAAATAACTTTTTTTTATTTTTCAGGTTTCAAAACAAATGGTCTTTTTTGCAAAGTAACCTGTTTCAAGATTCATACACTAAATTGTTTTGAACGGAACAAATTGTTTCCGGAAAAAACTTCGCTGATGCAGCAATTTACAAACAATATTTGAAGCATTATGTCAAAATAAACTTCGATCCCAATTTAACAACTGTTTTAGATAAGCCATTTATTTTATTCATGTTAACACAATCAAAGACAATTAACTAAATGACAAAATCATTGCTTTCATACCAAATAACTTTGGCAACGCACGCACACTTCGCAAAACTTACCGTAGTGAACAGAGGCAAAGCTGCGGTCCGCAAACACTTGCCAGAAGACAAAAAGAAAAGTCAAATGAAGTCAAATGAGAAAAAGTAGAAATAAACCTAAAATTAGTTAAACTTCGGCAACGTGTCGTAATCGCACATGAAACCAGATATTCTTAATCTCACGCACTAGCACTCAGCCACGGACGCTTAAAAGTTTACAAACACTAGCCACAAAGCAGAGTGCATATACTATGTAATTTCCAATGCTACAGATCGTGATCATAGCAAAAGTGGCATCAAATGATCACTTATATTTGCAAGTTAGATAAGAAAAAAGGTTTGTACTAACACACTACGATCGCTAAAACTCGAAAGTGTAAAGTAAATACAATGATTAGAAAAAAGCCAGATTTCATAACTAAAATGTTCACTTAAAATGTAAGTTGTGTTAAAACTCAGCAATTGAACCAAAAAAATCAATATTCTTTCTAAAAATGTCAGTCAAATTAAAATTTTCTCAATACAGTTTCACACTACTTGCGATGCAACGCAAATTAGCTGACCAAAATTCAGAAAAAAAGCTGTAAGAAAAAATTTTCGCAAAAAAATAGAATTACAATTTATCTTATCTTTGTTTCGACTTGTTTGAATTAAGTTCCTTTTCAAAAAAACACCCCGCAAAAGACAATTGAATGTTAAGACAGCAGTAAAGCAAAACCTACGACACCTACGATATTTAATCGGATTAGAAAACATCAAAAATGTTGCGTTCAAGAATGGAGTGCTTCGTCACAGAGGAAAGTTAAAGATCTTAGCTAGGTCATCATATAAGTTTTCCCAACAGAAAGATCTCGAAAAATTTTTGTGTTGCAATTCATAATTCTTCTAGCTCTAACTTACAGCTGAGTTAGATTTACCTTAATTTTTTCTATTTCTTTTTCGTTGAGGAAAACTTAAGAGCTGAAAATCTTAAGCTTTCCATTGAACAGCTTGGGATCTTAAATTAAGCTGTGTACGAGCGTTCTCCGAAACAAAGCACCCTTTTGACGAGCTTTGCTTGAATGACTAAACAATGCCTTGGAAAAAAGTATGTTCCAGTGTTCATCCACCTAGATCTTTTGTATAGTTTCACCTTTCAAATATAGGTAGCATTATAGCACAAAAGTTTGTCAGTAAACAAATAGATCCTAGAAAAAAACGCTACCTAGGTAGGTAAGAGTTCATTTCGACCAGCAACTTAAAAACGAGGATGCTAACTCCGACGACAATTTTGTTAGGATGAAAGTTTCCCGTTGAAAACTATGCACAAAAACTTGCACTAGAATTCCAGCCGTCAATCTTGTATGATAGGATACTTCAAACCACATCAAACGAGATCATCTATCTTAGAGGATTGTGCCGATTAAAACGTAATGTACATGTAATTTCAAAAAAAAAATGGTGCTGAGAAATTTCGCATCACGACACGAGGGCTCTCAAGTATCGGAGGTCGATATCGTACCATCCTTTTTCTTCGGCATTTGCATCTTCTTTAACATTCATGAAGCTTAAGGCTAAAATCAGACAAAAAAAAACATTAGCTTTGCAGTTTGAATTATTTTTTTTATCGTATGGTAGATCTTATTGTAAGAACGATAATTGGTGTTATTTTGTGAACCAGCGCAAAATATTTTTTGATCGATGAGCACTTCATTACTGTGAAACCAACAATGATTGATGGCAAACCAGTTATTATGGTTTACTGAGAAATGATCTGCTGGGGCTTGGGGAATGTTAAAAGGAATGGTGAGTTCTATGGAAATTGTACAGAACTTTGAATCAAATATTTACACAGTTGCACTAAACTTTCGCTTTTAATTAGGCTAATAATTTGTAAACATAAATAATTAAAACTATATTGCACAATGTTTTAAGTAGTACGAGCAGGGTTAAACACGATTAAGAAGTTAGCTTGCAAGGATACACAAAAGCGGACACAACAAATCAAGTTGTCTCGTAGACATTTTTCAAAACTGAAGATTTAAAACTTTATTTACTTGTACATTTAAACCAGCCCTGTTGCAGTAACAACCGCATCATACAGATGAGCTTTAAAACTTCTTATGGAGCTGGAAATAGTTCGTGTAAATGCTAAGCTCTCTCGGTAAACTTCAATGCTTCGATATCGACAACTTGAAATTTCATATGTCCACCTCTGGCGGTCTAAAGCTGATTGCATGCGTTTTCCTTTCACCCGCTTTAAGTGCTAGCTAATCAAGATCCTATATACATAATAATCAGTATTATTGTTCTCAATTAAGATTCCAGCATGGGAAACCCCAGGTGGTAGGAAAACAATATACAACGAGAAATTTGAGGATAGAAGTTTGTTTGTCTTCGGTCTGAGGGAAACAAAGATTAATGTGCGATTAATTAGTATGAGTGAGTCAATGATTGTTGAGGTATAATAAAATATAATGAACTTCAGTCTATCTATTCCTCTTCCTCCTCTTCTTCATCAGTGGTCGCACATGCATAGAGATCTTCTGGGTTGTCGAACATCGGGTTTCTCACTTCCATCTCTCCACTCTTTAACACATAGACAAGCATAAATACGTTCATTACTCTTAAAAAACATCTCTCAAAAGATAAACACAGCTTTCAATGAATATGCACATCCTATATTAACATTCCACTTGAAGTAAACTCAAATAAGTTTGGAAAGAAACGAAATATTTCATAGAACTTCCAAATAAGCGTATCTCAGATTGCCAATGGTATGACTTACCGGTGCCAGTCCAGGACATTCGTACACTGTGAAGTCCACATTGACGTCCAGGTCACGAGTGACTTCCTCGTACTCGATCTCTCGCTCTCGGCGGCCCATGTCGAGCGAACGGTGCTGCTGACTCCACTCGCGCATTCCAACTCCACCCTTCGATTTCTTCCAAGTTTCCTGGTCTGATCCAGTCACACTATCTCCCATAGGATATCCCGATCCATTGCCCACAGATCCCTGACTGCGCATGCGCAACAGTGAGCTCTTCAGACCGTTGTCCTCTTCCCGTGCAGACCAATTAGCTTTTCCTTTCTCTCCTTCCGCAACGGAGGGGACCGCTTTGTCCAGCAACAGTGCATCGTCACCCTTCTGTGACCCATCTTTGCTCTGCTGCTCGTCTTCGTCCGATCGCCTATTAACGACGAACAAAATAAACGCAACATTCTCACACAGAGGTGAAGCTGCGCTTCGACCGCTTGTATTTTCACTAACACTAGCCACCAATAAACCAGTTACAGTTTCTATCAAATTGCTAATGTTATGAAGCAAAAACTCGAACAAAAAAATTTAAATCTTCCGGATTTGAAGACCCGACCTGTTCGTTAGGAACCTCACGTCCTTGCATCTGCGCCACGACTTGGAAGTAATTAGTGGCCCAGCTAATGATGGATCTACCTGTTCTTTTTTTTATAAAATCATATTTTGCACTGAAAAAACGGACTTTACGCGAATCCCTAGTATTTCTCTGCTTACAAGGAGATTAACCGCTTATTAAAAAGAGAAAATTACAACTCGCTCTCTTAATTGAAGTCTTTATCTAAAATTTGGCTGAGTAGTTTTCAAAAAAAAATTGAAAAATGTTCCAAAAATTGATCAAAAAATCTGACTTTTCATATATGCATAAAATTTTTCTACATAAGCATGATACATAACCTCTATTTTTCACGCCCAGATTGAAGATTTTCGGTTCCTGATTTTTTAGATTGAACCCAAAATTTTAGTTTTAGCTTTCGACAATAGTGACAAAAATTCTGAAAGGAAGTTTTCCAAAGTCCATGTCAGCCTTTTTACAGAAAACAGGGTGAAGCAGATTGCAAAAGAAAAATCTACGCACTATGTTACTATGAATGAACTAGCAACATCAGAATCAGCAGGTTAGTTTTTGAAAAATAAAAATTTCCAAAAAACGGGCAAAATTTCAAAAATTGGAAGGCCATATTCTTTTTGGAAACGCTAGGCATAGCCGCTTGCGCACGTAAGAATCTCATAACTGCTTTTTATCGGTTGAACACTTAATCTCCGAATTAGCAGGCCAAAAATTTTAAACTCAAAAATTTTTAAAAATCAAACAATGTCCAAAAATGGGCTTTTTTTAGAGGCAATAACTTTTTTTTCTACCAATTTAAGGGAACAGCCGCTCAATAAGGTGAGATCCCAATAATTTGCTCTTTTTGATTGAAACATTCATCTTAGATTTGTGCATTTAATATTTGAGAAAAAGCAAAATTCAAAACAAATAGGTGTAAAATTCTCCTACTAAAACTTTCGAAGGCCGTGGATAAAAACGAAAAGAGATTATCGAAATAAGCGGTCACAAAGAAGAACAGTCGGATTTTCCGATGGTACCATTTTTTTGAAAATCAGTACAGTAGTACAAACGAAAAACAACATCCCATACATTTTCATGTCACAATACACTTTTTTTCAAACAGGACTTAACACTAGCCAAAAAAGCAGCAACATATGCCATACAATTGTTTAAATATGATTAAATTGAAATATACTAAAAGTGCCACTAAATGAGCACTTTTATTTGCGACTTCACTACGCTTAGATTGAGTAAAAACGTCCTGCTAAAATCGATTTTCGTGTTTTGTATAATTACAACGGCAAAAACCTTGGAAATAAGCCTTCTGCAGTGCGTCCGTCTATTACGGTTGCTTGATTATTGCGGTAGCTTACCTTCTGTCCATGGACGCAATCATCCGTTTCTGATGCTGGTAGTGATATATTTGAGTCTTCCGCGCAAGCTCTTTCTCGTCCATCTGAAAAACAACCGCTTTTCTCATTACACTATATTTTTCGAGAGCTATCCTGAATCAATATTTGCAAAGACAGTTTAGCGAGTCACGCTATTTAAAAAAAATTAAATGATGTAGCTCGCCCAAACATATTAAACTATTATTAATTTCTCCGCAAACGAATTTAAACACAGAGGCGAAGCTGCTCTTCGCAAACACGAGCGAGAAAGCAGAAAAAATCAGGAGCTTTAAAATGCAAAAACTCAAATTTTGCACAAATTTTAAAAGTTTGGAATTAAACAGACTAAAGGCAACTACACTAACTTTGCATAAAAGAAATTAGAATGTATTAGACCAAATGGTGTATAGATTATGCATTTCAACAATCTCGCGAAGTATATCGAGGTGAAAATTTTCTAAAGTGGGATTTTAATTATTATACTGTTGTATGAAACAAATAGCTTTTTTCGGTTCATCTGCTGCATTAAAAAAAGCATCAATCCTTAAGTTTATACTTATCAAATGTCAAAGCACATGTACATATAGTGCTAATGCAACCTACTTATTCAAAAGTGCCACAAAAATAGCACTTTAATTTGCGACTTAGGTTATAAAAAATTTGCATCGTACTATCACACTAAGCTACGCTACGCTCGTGTGATTATTAAATTGAGTGAGAAAAATCGAAACGCAAAAATGTGTCAAAAAAACGAACGCAACCGAAAAATTCCGCCAGCGCAATTTCAACTCGAAATAACCGGAAAAAAATAGTTTGAAAAAAATACAAGTGAAACAAGAATAGTCGGTTGTTGTGCAAGTAGCACAGAAAGTTCCTGTCGCAATAAGAAACATGGCCGGTTTGAAAAGTGTCAAGGACTCAAGTCAACCGAAGACAAAAATAGATGGCCTTAAAAGTCTTCTAATTTCGAGAACAAATTATGATTGACACGTTTTCAACACAGAGGCGAAGCTGTGCTTCGCAATCACTTGCGAGAACACGATCAAAAAGCAGCTCTATCAACTGAAATAAGAAAAAGTAGAAATAAGCCTAGAATTAACAAAAACTCGTCTACGTGTAGGATTCGAATCTGCGACTTACTGCAATCAAGAAATTTTGAGTCTCACGCACTATCCACTCAAGCTTAACAACTGACAAACACTAGTCACAAATAAAGCAGCTATAGAACATATGTTAATAAATTGCCAACGCCATTCAGCAAAAGTAGCACCGAACACAAATAGACTCAATTTTACAAGTAATAATTTGGAATATAACAAACTGAAGGCATCCACACCAACTTTGCATGTAACAAAAACCGCAAAACATAAAGCCACATTGTATAATATATGCCTTTCATAAAAATGCGAGATATAGACTTAGAAAATTTCTGAAATCGAGTTTTCATTATTGTGATGTTGTTTGAAACAAATAGCTTTTTTCGGTTCGTTTGATGAATTAGAAATGCATCAACTGTGTTAATTTATTACTATTCGAATGTCAAAGCACATGCTATTAAAAAGCTGTAAAGAGCCACACCATTATTGGGGTGCCGCACCATAAAAAAAGCCGCACCAATATTTGTGACTTAGGTTGAAAAAAGAAGGTTCGTACTAATACACTAGCTTCGCAAAAGTAACCCGATTTGAGAAAACTGGATCTCGCTGGAAAATCTAATAACTAAACTCCATTTTCGAAACTAGAAGTCGATCATGCTCATCGTGATCGTCACACTTCTGCTGTTCGATAGAGAGGCGTGCTTTTTTAACAAAGGAAATGAACAGAACTTAAAAAAACTATAAAAGTCAAACCTCAAAAAAAAAAATTGTTCCGACCACTAGTTTCTGTCGTCGGAACAATAATAGCAGTAAAAATCAGCAGGGAAACTATATATTTACATCGTCTGCTCCATCGAAGCCATATGACACTTTGCGACTGGAGCTCTTAGGGGGAACGAATGCTAGCTCTTTTTTGCTGTACTTGTGGTACACCAGTCCCAGCACTCCAATCAATACCACACTCGCCACTGCCATCGAAATGAGTACTGAAACAACCACTGAGTCAGTTTTCGCATTATCACGTTTCTGATCATAATTCCACGTATATTTTAGCTCTCTCTTTGTTTGCGTTTTGAGTTCAGATAATGATTTGAAAAAAATCAAAATAATCAAACTATGATGCTTTTAGGACCAATTACTACGTTTTTTTAGGGCTTTCCACAAAATTTTTTGAAATCAGTTTCTCAAGATTGAGTTCAAACCCAGCGATAAATAACTAATCAATCGAGAACACTAAAAAACAATAGGCAGTAAGAAAAACAACTTTGAAAAATCTCAATTATCAACGCAATTAAATTAGCTTATGCCTCAAAAATTCGAGAATACTGGTAACTTTACTTATGAACATTTGGGAAATTGTAGTTTAAAAGGACGTCTAACTGAGAAAAGTAATTGTGTGCCGATTCGCCGTTGAACTGAATGACCGTTCCTCGGATGCAGTCAGGTACATGTGGGTGTTGTCGGAATCTAAAAAAGATTATGCAATTATAATTTTCCCATTTATATTATGTTTCGCACGCATCTTATGCCAAACTCAACATCAGCAGATCGTTTTTTGCTATCTTTAGACCTAATTAGGAGATAAAATTTAGACGAGTGATAACCTTAAACAAACAAAGACAATCAACCTGTATTATTCTACTTCCGTTCTTCGCCTAAGGCAACGCAAAAAAAAAAAATCATCCACTTAAAAGTGCAGTTCAAAATTTTGTCCGAAGCTGTTGATTTCGCCCAATTTTACACCGGGAAAAAACTATTTAAAAAATGCATCTCAAGATGGAAAACTTCGTAGTGAATAATACATACATGGTGCTCGTTTGATCATCGTGGTTCCATCGTCTGCCTCTGTCAAAATATCATCGCCAATATTGCGATCAGTTGGCTTCACTAAACATATTTGTGAATAAAAATAACGTAGCTAACAGTAGGAAAGTGTCAACAGGTTAGAATTCAAAAAAAAACGTCAGTTTTGCTCTAACAGTACAGTGCTGATTCAAATTAACCGGACAAAACGAACAAATTTTGAAAATTCAAACGCGTTTTACTCAAATTGGGTTACGATTAGACAAAAAGTGAAGAGAATAAAAGTTGCTTAGAATTTTATCATAATTAAAGTGATGCAATTGTTTTCCCCAAAGTTTTCAACCTGAAATTTATTTAAGTTTTCAACCTAAAATTTATTTTGGGTTTTTTCAATTAATCAAAAATTACGCTGAAACTACTTTGTTAATTGATGAGAAATATATATCACAAGAAGCCTCTTACACACCCAACAAAGGAAGGGTTGCATCCCGAAAAACTAGCGCGATTTGTTTAAAATTTGTTTTTAAGCAAAAAATTTTATATTGTAAAAATCTCATTTCTTGACTATCAAGCAAAAATATTTTCTCGTATACAGGTTTTTGGAGATTCAACCCTTGCAGAACTATGTTGGAGTGTGTAAGAGGCTTTTTGTGATATATATTTCTCATCAATTAACAAAGTAATTTCAGCGTAATTTTTGATTAATTGAAAAAAGCCAAAATAACCCATTTTTGGGGTAAATTTTAGGTTGAGAATTTTGGGCAAAAAATTGCATCATATTAATTCTGATGAAATTCTAAACAATTTTTGTTCTGGTCACTTTTTGTCTAATCTTAACCCAATTTGAGATAAACGTGTTTGAAAATTCTTAGTTTTGCTCATTTTGTCCGGATAATTTAAATCAGCCTGTAACCGGACAAAACGAGCTAAACTTGAAATTTAAAACGAGTTTTTCTCAAATTGGGTTGAGTTTAGGTGAAAACTTATGAAGACAAAACTATCTTAAAATTTTAGCAGAATTAATATGGTGTAATTTGTTTTGCAAAATTCGGGTCCGAAATTTTACCCCAAAAATGGGTCATTTTGGCTTTTCTTAGTTAATCAAAAATTACGCCGAAAATACCCAGTCAATCTCAGACATAAGTATACCAAAGTGAGCCCCTTACATAGCCTAACAAACTTTAAGAAGGGTATATTCTCCAAAATATTGTATAAGTTAATTTATTTTTGTTTGATAGACAAAAAGGTCATTTTTACTATATAAAATACCAACTTTTTATTTAAAAACAATTTTTAAACAATATGCAACTTTTTTTGGAGAAAATACCCTTTTCAAAGTTTGTTGAGCTACGTAAGGGGCTCACTTTGATATAATTATGTCTGTGATCGACTGGGTATTTTTGGCGTAATGTCTGATTAACTAAGAAAAGTCAAAATGACCCATTTTTGGGGTAAAATTTTGGGCCCGAATTTTGCAAAACAAATTACACCATATTAATTCTGCTAAAATTTTAAGCAAGTTTTGTCTTAATAAGTTTTCACCTAAACTCAACCCAATTAGAGAAAAACGCGTTTTAAATTTCAAGTTTAACGCGTTTTGTCCGGTTAATTTATATCAGCACTGTAGTTTAGATCAAATCCTTGCACTTGTTTCAAAATTAGAATAAAATTTTTTGGTCGGTTCGACTTCTTAGCCTTAACATTGTGATAAACTTATTACATAGAGGCTGAAAATGAATCATTAGAAACAAAATCGTGAAACTAATGATATAAGTGATGAAAAAAATCCAGATATCCCAGTACTCCGATAACTTGATCAAACACGATAGCGGTGCCAAAAAAAGAGGCCGAATATCACCAAGTCCGTGTGAAGAAATGAGCAATGAAGCAGACAATTATAATTATATGGCGACCAAGATAAAAGCAAACAGTACAGATTCACACGAGTCTATATTAGCAACTACTATTAAGAACGCCTTTCAGAATATAACATGATGCTGGACAATCTCATCGACGAGACTTTGAAAGGAGTCAAAGAAGAAATTGTTGCCAGTTTTTGGAGAGAAACGTCAGAACCAGAAAACCCAATCATCTTATAATAGACTCGACAACCTTGAGGAAGGTATAAAGTATTTCTAATGCAACTGCGACAGATGTAGACAAAAAACATTTGCACTGCAAAGCAGGGTTGGCATGTTATTTAACATTGTTATTTAACATTGAATTTAACTTACAGTGTTATTTATAATTTCTAACAGTGATGTTAGCTATTTCTTAGAAATATGAGTAATTCTTAGAAAAACACAACGCAACTATACTGCATGCTTGTTCCGAAACGATTGTAGCGAATCCCGAACGGATGAAATTTTTTTTTTCAAACCAATTGCAGTTTCACTTGACAAACTACAGAGCGATAAATCTCACCTGACGTATGGGAAGCTTCGTGCTCAACTCGGCGTTGAGAAAGCCGGAAAGTTGGCGTTTCTGTTCAAGAAACTCAACTCTTGTTGATATGTTTTTTTAATTAACAATTTAACAAAAATAACATGTTTTTTTTGCTAAATAACAGTTAGTTTGTTATTTTTGTTTTTAACTTACATTTTGCCAACCCTGCTGCAAAGAGACTTCTAAACCGATCCAACAATGCAAAAGAGCCAATTGTTGTTCGCTGTTATTTCTCGTAGGGTGCCGAATTCAGAAAAACCATCCACAGCGATACTAATTACCAGAATACCAAAGCGAGTCTATTTTTCTTCGTAGATGAAAAAGTGACGTTAGAAGAAAATCATACTGGATTTGCTCTGGGACAACGCATTTTACTTGGAAGAACGCGAAACTAAAAAAATCCAAGGCTTTTTTGAAGGCGGAAATTTTTTAACTTTCCTTGGCTAGACGCCAAACTTTTTTCAATAGTTTTCCCGGCATATCCACTTCTTATTCAATCTTATTAGCTAACATTCGCTCAGTCAACACAGAGGCAAAGGGGAGCTTCGCATCACTTGCGATACAAAGATTTATGACTATGATTAGAAGACAAATAAAAAAACTGAAAAAAAATTGTCCAACTTTTTTTAAAAAAAAACTACTAAAAAGGACAAAAATTCCGGAAACAAAATTACCTGCACCATTAGAAAAAGCTTTCAAAATGCTAGAAAGAAACCTAACCTTTTTGCGAGACCTAAGCTGACAAAAATTAGCAGACACGAAAGTCCAGAATATTCGAAAATTTTCAGTTTCGACAAACAAAAAACAGGTCCCGAATGAAATCGAACTTCTGGGTCTTGCCGTCTCAAGCATTACCACTGCACTAAATGCAGAGAACACTCCTTGAGTTCAAAAAAAAATAAATTTCAAAAATTTTTAATGAACAGCATGAAAAAAAAATCAAAAAATAGGCAAAACTTCTAGGAACTCAATTACTTGCCCAAAACCGGAATACACTGAAATGCTTTTTACTTCGAGTATAAAATTTTCCGCTTAAAAAACAGGTTCTGACCGGGTTGAAACCAATGAACTGTTTTTATTGGCAGGTGCGTTACTTCTTCGCCACATGAGCAAATTAACGTCTGACTTTTGATTTCATATGAATCAGTTTAAATGATTCGAGTGATTCTGTTCAACTACTTGCTAGCCCGAAAAAAAACATATTCCAGTTTGATTACGTTTGCCAATCACAAACGTAAAAAGCATCTAGAGAATTTGCATGCAGTTCAGAGCAGTCAACGAGCAAGCAAAACCAACCGCGCAGATGTTTTTGGAACTGATCAACAAATTTTTTCCATCGAGAAATTTTCATTTCAATTATCTTCATGATTGCTTTTTTTTCTTAAGGTCAACCATCATAAAACCTGAAACCTACTCACTCATACTGCATTGACGAATTCAGTTTTCTTTTTTAATTTTAAAAATTGCATGTAAATGCGCCTTATACGGCATAACTACCAACCTTTATTTGTGAAGCGCTAAAGAAGTTAAATTTTAAATTCTTGCAGAAAAGTTACAGCAAATTGAACCTCAAAAATCATAGGCTATTCTCTTTGTTAGCTGGTTGTGGTAAAACTATTAGGAAAGCTATTTACCAAAGTCTCTATAGTTACCTCGGAAATTTCGACATACTTCATGATTGCCAATTTTGATTTCGATACAAAATTATTGATGCATTAGCTGATTCAACTGCCAGAAAAATGTGAATTAACAGAAGTCTGAAACCCATTTTTTTAAATTAATTTCAAAAAAAGTTTAATAGGCTTGATCATACAATCTTATTAGCTAAATTGGTTTGTTATGGAGTTCGCGGCAACTGCTAAAACTGGTTTCACAGTCAGCACTGGCGTGCCACAAGGATCTGTACTTGTACCACAACTTTTCCCCATTTACAAGGAATATGCATCAAGAAGCAACAAACTCAAAATATTTTCTATTTATGATAAAAAATTTACTTGCACTAGATTTATGATCGAATGTTTCCAGTAAAATATACAAAAAATAATTGTTTGAAAATTCACATAGGCAAAGCGGAGATTCGTACCACTTGCGATATAACGCAAACATAAAAAACATAAGAAAAAAAATTAATGTTAAAAAAACTAGGTGAACCAAAATTATCGAATGTCTCGATAAAAACAACTAGGGGCCAGCTAAAGCAGGACATACGTGTTTGATGCCAAATGAATTTGCTACACTGATGCGGCAGCGAAAACATGATTTCAAAAGTTGGACTTTGCTCAAAACCTTAGTTGTTTCTTTACTGAAATGAGTGAAAAGAGTTTAAAAAAAATTCGATAATCAATTTACCCTGAAGGTAAACATTTCCTTTACAAAAAATTAAAGAGTCGCCACTTCTGCACGAACAATTATCCCAACCGCTTCTGCCAATTGAACTTTTCATCTCAGATCAAAACAATCAAAAACTTTCTCAGATCAAACCTTTCCGAAATTCATAACTTTTTTCTGCAAAAAAAAACAGGGTGTGTCCGCTCACGCAGAGAAAATTCCCAAAACCGAGTTTCTGAACACTCAATCTGAGAATTGGCACGGTAGCTTTCGCGTAAATTCAAGTTTCCAAAAAACTGTTTAGTTTCAAAACATTGACTTCTTTGAAGGCCACAACTTTTATAAACAAACTGGGCACAGCCAATTATCAAGGTAGGCTTAGGCGTTGTTTCGATTTAACCTATGATATCGGATTTGGCCGGATAGCTAGCGATAAAAATCTTAGAAAGTCTAGACACATCAAAAATATGACACTTCCGAGAATCAAAGCCTTTTGTGTGAAAGAATAGGGTGTAGCCGCTTATACAGAAAGGATTCACGCAACCTGTTATTTCGATTGAACCCAAAATCTCAGATTTGGGAGCGCAGTTTTCGAGAAAAGTTAAGTTTAACAAAAAAACGGTCAAAAATTCCAGAGCAATAACTTTTGCTTTCCGAAAAATTCGGGCGTATTCGCATAAGCAAATGAGCTTCCTCCCACAACCCGTTCTTTGAATTGAACCCAAAATCTCAGATCTGACCGGGTAGTTTTCGAAAACATTCTTAAAAAATTCATAGCGCCCAAAAAATCCAGAAAAAACTTACCATTCCGAGGGCCATAAATGCTTATCTAAAAAACAATTAAGTGTAACCGTTTAAGCCGAAAGCAGGAGATCAGATTTGAAAGGGGTTTTTCGAGAAAGCGAAAACCAATAAAATATGGGTCAAATATTTCCCAATCGATTTTTTTGAAGGCAGAAGACAGAGGGATTAAGTGAAAAGACACCAAAGGGAGAATGCAGGCACACAGAGGAAAAGGCGATCTTTCCATTGATACCCCTTCTTTGAAAACCAGAAGAAGTTTCTGAGAAAAACTTACTTTTCCAATATAATTGGAAATAATTTTCCATAACGAAAGAAAATAAATTTCAACTAGCCGCTAGGTAAAGAAACAACTTGATCAGTGCGAATCGGAGTACTAAAATTGTGTTTCCCTTGGAACGACCCAAAATAAGATCATTTAGCCAATGATAATTAGGACGAAATAATTTCGTCTGACGAATTTTTTTCGGCGAAACAAAAAAAAACAGAACGAAATACGAAGCCAAGATAAGAAAAATTACAAATTGTAGCAGAAAATCAAACATTAAAAGCAACTTCAAAAAAAATGCGCGCAGAAAAAAAACGCTTCCAAGATGTGACAACAGATAAGCAGACAAATAATTGTCCGAGAAAACTTTAAAGCGAAAAAACATACACGATGTCAAGGTTGGTAGAATAAAAAATCGAAATAGTAGAAAAAAATGAAAACATAAGAAGCAACTAATATGCAACTGCATTCAGCGAAAAAATTTAAAGATGTGGCAACTCAGCCGACAAATCATAAGACGAAAATTGTTTTTGAAATGGAATTTTCCCCGTTTAAAAAAAACAAGCCATTGCTCAGATACAAACCCAGGACTTTTGCAGTACCAGAGGTATTAGTAAGTTGCAGTCTAAAAATGCCCGAGACGCTAAGAAACTTGAATTTATTATGAACCAAGGTACCAAGTGATTCTGTAATCTTATATATTAATTGAACGACAGAAAAAGCACCATGTTTAAAAAGCGATTATTGAGCTCAACGTTTAGGAAAATCTTCTGAATCTAGAATGTTCTAGAACTTTTCAGTAAAATCAATTTGAAGCTTCAGATTCTGTTAGCTATTCTTACGTTTCGAATATTCTAGAATTTTTTCAAATCAAAAAGTTCAAAACTTTTTAACAAGATGAACTCGACACCTGCTCTTTTTTGTCCAAAGTTTTGCGCTTCAAGATTCAAAACGCTTCGCGCTATAAATAACTCGAAATGTTTCAAATGTTTTAAACAACTAGGCATCATTCAAAGTTTCATAGCTCGATCAGCTTGCCTAAAAAAATTTTTTGCGAACCGATTCGATCTATGAAACAGCTTGCAATATTCCATTACTTGACTGGCTTCCTTAAGAAAAACTTGAGCTTTTCGTGAACCGATCGGCTTCTTTAAACGACATGAAAGAACTCTAACTTTAATAGCTTAAATAGTTTGCATACAAAAACTTGAAGCATTTTGAAGTTTCATAGCTTGAATAGTTTTCCTAGAAAACTAAATTTTTTACAAAACGATTTGCGCGATGAAGTAACTTGAAATAATTCATAGCGTGAATAGCTGTTCTACGAAGTCACTTGAAATAATTCGAAAACGATTGGGTCTATGAAATCGCTTGAAATATTTCAGATTCAATAGCCTGCATAAGAAAAAAAGCTTTTCGTGAATCGATTCGGTTTATGAAATGGCTTGAAATATTAAATTCCTTAGATTTAATGGCTTGATGAAGAAAAATAACTTGAAATTTTTCACAGTTTCATCGCTTGAATAAAGTTCATACGAAATTTTTCAGTTTTCGCAAAACCATACGGTCTGAAATAAATTAGATTTTTTTTCGACGCTCATTGCTCGATTACCTTGCTCAGAAAAACTTAATTTTCGCAAAATTTTTTGGTCTCAGAAACCACTTGAATTCTTTTTAAGTTTCATCGCTTGAATAGATTTGTTTTCGCCATCCGATTCTCTTTGTGGAATAACTTGAAATAATTCGAAGTTTCATGACGAATAGCTTGCTTAAAAACTTAATTTTTTCGTGAACCGATCTCTGCTTCTTTAAACGACATGAAATATTTCCAAAATTTATTGGCTTGATTAGCTTGCTTACAAATTCTCGATTGTAATGACCGATTCGCTTCATGAAATCACTTTTAATATTTCAAAGTTTCTTAGCTGTAATAGATTGCTTAGAAAAACTTGAATAGCTTGATCAGATCAACAACCAACTTTTTGCGAGCCGATTGATCATTGGAGACACGCTTGCTAGTTTAAGTTATCCCGAAAAAAGGTCTATATTCCGGTTTGATAACGCTTGCTAATCGCAGGGGTAATAAGTTATTTTAAATTATTGATATTAATTGCCTAATAAATTTAAAAAAAAATTGAATTGCTTCTAACCTTCAAGTTGTATTTGATAAAATTGGGTAGCCCTGAATATCGAACATAATAAATGAGCGTAAATAAACATAAATAAAAGCGTAGCAGTAGATAATAGTTTGTGGTTCAATTCTTGCTATGTAGACAGTTAAAACGAAATTAGGAAGGCATCGCGGTATTCTTTCAAAACTACAACATTTTGTAACAAAATCCAATAGAACTAATATCAATCAAATATTAAGCCAGTTATCGAACACGGTTTGCTCGTAACTTACTTTACCAATTTGACTACGTAAATTCACGAGTTAACTTTGCGCCGAAAAATCATGCGCATGATTTACTTCAAAAAAAGTTGGTAAGTATCACCCGATCATGCATGGACATTAGGACTCTGTCCGCTCATGAGCTTTATGTACATGATCTGCCTAAAGTTTGCTTGCGTTCACTCGACCAAAAGCATCAAAATTCTTTTCTAAAACACAGGGAAGTCGGCTATCCGTACAATTGATCTCCCTTCAGTTTTCTTCATTAGCATGAACAAATGAAGTTTTAATTTTTTCAGATGTGAACTATCATTTGTAGTTTTCCTGTTCAAACTCCAGAAAAACCAAAACAGACTTGCTGCGTTGTTTTTTTAAACCGTGTTGTTAGATGCTACATGACACATGTTTAAGACAGCAAATTCAACCTCGAAAAATCGAAAAAAGACTTTGGAAAATCAAACTACATGTTTGGAAAATCAAAAAAACTTAGAGAAAAAATTTGACGATTTTCTTTTTCGCGAACAATATTGTCGAATGTGACCATAGGATCATTTTTAGCTCAGGAACTCAATCTCAAAATAATAACTCGAAAACCCTTTACTGTTAATCATTGTTTATTTGATTTCAAATTATTCAGGTTGGACAAAAAAATGCGTGGAATGTGCCTTTTGTCTATACCTTCAAATGTTAATGTATATAACTGTTTATATTAATTCACGGGGATTTGATTTGGAAGAAAAAAATTTTCTCCAGCTAGCAAACTTTTACCAATCGGAAAAGCTCAAAACAATACAGAATTTAAATCTCACTAAATCTAACTGGGCCACTAAATTTCAGGATCCAGATTATAATACGAAAGTTTTAAAGCTGCGATTGGCTTCAGAAATTTTTAAAACAGTAAAGCTATACACCAAACCAGTAAGCTGAACAAGAAAAAGGAGACGTCACTCAGAGAAATAAAACGCTACTAACAGAGAACTGTCTGAGCGAGGGTTCTAAATCTCAAGAAGAGCTTCAAGCTGTCTAAAGCTGCCCTATCCAAATACAACAGGCAAAACCATACCAACTTTCCGTGTTAAAATCTGTTACGGCATAGATAGGAGAGTGGCTAGCATACAATACGCTTGCCAATTTGGCTACAATTTTGCCCTTTCTCGTCCACTTCACTGTCTAACCTCAAACACCATGCAATCCGAGACATATTCGCATATCTCTTCGAATAATTCTTCAACGCTGACAAAAACAAGATCTGACAAAGTTTTCACAACGCGAAACAAAAGCTTATCAAGCGGTAACTAGGCAAACGGTTCTTTGGTTAGATGACCTTGGAGCCGGAAAAAAAGAGCGCTTTAAAGGTTCTCAGTTGAAACACGAGTCACTGAGTGCACCGTTTCGAGCGCGTTAACTACTGCATCGTTGTGACATTCAACCAGAATGTACGAAAATGCAAAGTCGGAATTCGAATTTTTATTGTGACATCGGAGTGGGAAGTTTGACGGTTTTAACGAATTAGTGGTCTTAATCGTTCATTTTGACGAACGCGGAAGGGTTAATTTGGACTTTCATGTAAATTTTTTTAAAATTCGTTCGAAAAAAAGACTCGTGACAACGTCGGAATTTCGCGCCAACTGAAAATTGCGAAAAGAAAACAGAACAAGAGAATTCGTTGAGAAAAGCAGTGAACGGAAATTGTGTGATACTGATCGAGATTGAAGAAAAAACAACTTTACAAAGACCATTCCGAGTTGTAACGATTGTGCCGCTACAATCGTTACATCGCGAATCCTGAGAACAAGGAAGGGTGTTGGGACGGCGTGTCCAGCCTTCCCGAAAGAAATAAGAGCGTTATTTCCCCGGATTCCAGAATCCGGAGGGGTCTCGGGAGAACTCAAACTGTTTTTTTAATAAACTTTTAGCTTCCTTGAGATGTCCTGAGTTGAATTCAATTAACATCTAAATTCATTTTCAGATTATGAGAAGCTAGGAGTTAAGGGAAAGGGTTGATCCTTCGATGGAGATGATGATTTTTATCTACTGAACAAAAACAATAGTAATATAATAAATAAGTAGTAGCCCTGTTTTTAGGAGTGACCTCGTGGTCTGGGGATTAATGAGACCCAGCCATGAGCTCACTATTTCTGCATGTAATTAAGTAAAGCCGGAAACAGTAACGTTTTTTGTCGACCCGATGTTAGAAAGACCACCAAAAGAACTGGCTTTGGCAGAGACGGTGAAAAGCATGTAGAGCTGTGTTTAGACGCTAGCCAGTCGTTTTAGAACCTAGCTTTACTTTCCGTCGATATGTACTTCCGGGCGAATGTTACACGTTTCAGTTAATACAATCCTGCTACGTTTGATTTAAGTGGTCGCAAACTGAACTGTTCATTAGATATTATATACAACTGCTAAAACATTTTTAAATGTTACGAATTTAAGTAGCCTGCTTTAGCTCGCCTGCTTTTATCGCTCAAGTTATGGTTACTTGAAATATGGTCACGCGAGTGGTATATGGATCAGAATTACTCAGCAATTTTAAAAAGTTCGTAACCAGCTTCATTGCCATAAAAGTTAATTTAGTGGCCCTAAACTTGAAACAAAACTTACATCTTCGGCAGATTCGTGATTTATCGCTCATTTGTACAAAGCCATTTATGCACGGACCACATGAAGCCTCCTCAAATGCTCGTGATATCGCAGCATTGCATGGTTGCCGACCCATTGCACCACATACAGTGTAGTCCACGCACTCATCTGAGACCCCATTGTTCCCTGCACTGGTCAAAGCGAAAGAGAATTCAATTTGAAACTGTACAATGCTTACAAGGCAGAGTAAGAGACAAATCCGCTCTCTCTGAAACATTAAAAAAAATTATATCAACGTTAAAAAAACAGAAGTTGACAAATAAATAATTTGAAATACCTGTAGCATGATAAGTCGGGTATTAGTTAGCTTGAGTGTGATTATTTCATTTGTTCTGAAAATGCTTCAATCTGATCAGAGGACAAAAGTAAACGGAAATTCAGGTTTTTACTCTCAAAAATGCCTAATATCAATAATTTTTTTGGGCAATTTTATTTCGAATTTGAACAAAATTTTTTTTACTTCGACCGACTTCAGAGGAACTGAACTACCTCTCTGAAAGCCTGAACTTTACAATTATAGCACTTCATATGCAATTATAGTTTTTTACGAGTATGAAATGCTCGTTTTCACCATTCAAAAGTTTTTTCAATGCTTTAAAATTATACTGTGGACAAAACGCAGCAGCAAAATTTTAACACTGAGGTAAAGCAGAGCTTCGCGCTACTTGCGATAGACAAAAACTGAAATTGCAGCACCGCTCTCAGATGAACCGACAAATTCCAAAAAAAAAACCTTGAAACTGATTTACTTGCACTTTTGCAATTTTTTTACTATAAAAAATCAAGCGAAGCCGTGCATATATATTAGATATGACATATATATATATATATATATAGAATGATAAACTAATAGACTGAAATGGAAATGGTTGATTAAAATGAAGATGAAATCCGAAGAATGATTTTGCAAAAAGTTATAAGAAAAAGATCTTCCAAAAGTTTTCCGACGTATGATTTGATTTCATCTTCAAATCTTTCCAAAATGCCAAAAATTAAAAAAAGGAGTTAAATCAGCATCAAAACAAAACCAACCAATCGGTAACGAAGCCAATTCTTGAGCAGTTACACGCTGCTCGTATGCCAGTCGGTCATATTTGGAAGTTTGGCCTTGATTTGGAAGTTTTGACCTTGATTTTGGTGACAAAGTGATTTTGAAAAATTCGAATAGACCATGTCATGATCAAGTTTCTCCTGAAAATCAGAAGTTAATTTTATCAGAATACTAAAATTACAATTGCGGGGAAAACGATAAAAATCAGACGACAGTAAAATTGCTGTTCGCAATTTTACTGAAATCTACTATTCGAGTCGAACTGTTTTGTTCCTGACAGAGAGCATCGCCAATTTAACGAGAATATCATCGCTGGGCGAGAAAAAATCTTGATTGTGCAGGCAGACGAGTGAAGCTGCTCAATGATTCAGAAGACCAAACTTATTGATTTAAAACTACTTATCACTAAAAACATCCTGAGGTGCTTTACTTACATTATTCAATTGAAACTACTAAGGACTGAAACTTCTAGGGCAAATGAGGATAGGAAAAGGTACGAGGAGATGCTAAGGAAAGCAAGATCACTGGTGCAAAAAGAAATTGACAAACAGTGGTGGGCATCCATTTTCCGATTCGTGAAACGTCAAGTTGAGGCAAGCTTAAATACAACATCAGAAAACCATAGAAAAAAGTTAGAAAAACTGTCCGAGAGACAAGATAAACCTCTTGGGGGGAGAAATGAGCGATCAGTTAAGGTACTTGATAATATTGAACTGCCTGAATGGGTATATAAAGTGCTAATAGTGATATGACATATATACATAGAATGATAACCTAATAGACTGAAATGGAAATGGTTGATTAAAATGAAGATGAAATCCGAAGAATGATTTTGCAAAAAGTTATAAGAGAAAGATCTTCCAAAAGTTTTCCGACGTATGATTTGATTTCATCTTCAAATCTTTCCGAAATGCCAAAAATTAAAAAAAAAAGGAGTTAAATCAGCATCAAAACAAAACCAACCAATCGGTAACGAAGCCAATTCTTGAGCAGTTACACGCTGCTCGTATGCCAGTCGGTCATATTTGGAAGTTTGGCCTTGATTTGGAAGGTTTGACCTTGATTTTGGTGAAAAAGTGATTTTGAAAAATTCGAATAGACCATGTCATGCTCAAGTTTCTCCTGAAAATCAGAAGTTAATTTTATCAGAATACTAAAATTACAATTGCGGGGAAAACGATAAAAGTCAGACGACAGTAAATTTGCTGTTCGCAATTTTACTGAAATCTACTATTCGAGTCGAACTGTTTTGTTCCTGACAGAGAGCATTGCCAATTTAACGAGAATATCATCGCATGGCGAAAAAAAATCTTGATTGTGCAGGCAGACGAGTGAAGCTGCTCAATGATTCAGAAGACCAAACTTATTGATTTAAAACTACTTATCACTAAAAACATCTAGAGGTGCTTTACTTACATTATTCAATTGAAACTACTAAGGACTGAAACTTCTAGGGCAAATGAGGATAGGAAAAGGTACAAGGAGATGCTAAGGAAAGCAAGATCACTGGTGCAAAAAGAAATTGACAAACAGTGGTGGGCATCCATTTTCCGATTCGTGAAACGTCAAGTTGAGGCAAGCTTAAATACAACATCAGAAAACCATAGAAAAAAGTTAGAAAAACTGTCCGAGAGACAAGATAAACCTCTTGGGGGGAGAAATGAGCGATCAGTTAAGGTGATAATATTGAACTGCTTGAATGGGTATATGAAGTGCTATCAATGGGCCCCAAGCATCCAATTAGAGACAAATTTAACGAAACACATTTTTTGGCGGATATCGACATTTTCCTCTCACAATTGAAAAATCAAAAAACATCTGGTGAATTTTTATGTGAAATAGAAGCCGCGGCAAAGGCATATGCAAAAAACGTACGGCAAACCCCAAGAGACAAAGCCGTTGAAAAAACGAGGAAATATCTCAAAGATAATGGGTTGCTGGCTGTGCCTTTTGATAAGGGGGTTGGTTTTTGCATAATGAGGAAACAAACATATGAATCAAAGCTGGAATCCTTGTTGCAATCTGCTCAGTTTGTGAAAAAAGATGCAACCACTGATGAGGTGATACTGAAAATTGAGAAAGAACTTAACAAAGAATTACTAGCCATGAACAAAAGAGACGAGATAAGTGATCAGTTCTATTCTAAGATGAGATCAACAGGGGGGCAACCCGCCCGTTTGTACGGTTTAGCTAAGGTACACAAGGATGAGACACCCCTACGACCTGTACTATCACTTCCCGGCAGCTCGTATGAGAATCTTAACATAATGCTTGCAAAGTTTTTTTGACAACATCGATGAAGCAAATATAGAAACCAATACTAAAGAGGCTAGAGAAAAAACAGAAAACATTGCTCTAGATCCGGATGAAACCATAATATCTCTTGATGTGAAAAGTTTGTACACCAACGTTCCCCTGAAGGAGGCAATTGAAATTGCTTTACAGAAGCTGTACAGCCAGGAGTCTCCTCCTGAAATTCAAAGAGCAACCATGAAAAGGCTTTTGAATATGGCGGTCAGCAAAGTATATTTCAAGTGTAATGATTCATGGTATGTACAAGTTGATGGTTTAGCAATGTGCGCGTCCCTCGCTGTAATTCTGGCAAAATTATGGCTGAAAGAATACGAATTTGCTCTACGACAACAAATACCGGTGGGAACGGGGGTACAGCAAATTAATGTTAAAAACGGCTTGTGCCCAGGTTGCAACAGGAAAGTCACATATAGATCAAAGGGAGTTGAATGCGAGAGTTGCCGAAACTGGTATCATCTAAAATGCGGAAAAATATCCGATGACGTATACGCATCAATAACCGAGATAGTCTGGTACTGTGAAAGCTGCTGCCGAGCTAAGAACAAGGAGAAGGATACTCCCCAGGTGAAATTGTTCCTCAGGTATGTGGATGACATTGTTAGAACAGTCAGAGGGGAGCCGAGTTGTCTTCTCGATGCCGCCAATTCTCTTCATCCAAATTTGCAGTTCACTCTAGAGAAAACTAATTCGGAGGGGAATTTGCCGTTCCTGGATTTGAACATAAATGTATCGCAGGATAGGCGTGTAACTTGCAGTTGGTATCAAAAACCAACAGATACAGGGACTATACTGAACTATAGAAGCTGCGCCCAAACTCAGTATAAGCGTAGTGTTATCCAAGGCACTGTACACAGGGTTTTTAGGAGTACATCTAGCTGGGAGCAATTTGATAAGGCTATGGAAACTAATAGGGCGCAATGGCTGACAAATCAGTACCCTGAAAATTGGTCCGCAAAGGTGGCTTCAGACGCCTTGTGCAAGATCATCGAGGGTAAAGGCAAGCCCCTGGATAGTGACAGGGGTTTGTCAGTTCAATCACCAAAGGATGAGAAGCCCCCAATGCTGATGGTGCAATATAGAGGTAACCAGAGCCAATATTTTGCTAACAGGTTACGAAAATTAACGAACGTTCAAGTGGTTTTCACCACAAGAAAACTACAATCATGTTTACCATCTCTGAAGTCAGCATTTTCTAATGACCTCAAGTCAAGAGTGGTTTATAAACTGTCATGTAGTGGATGCACTTCCACCTATGTCGGACAAACTGTTCGACATTTGACCACTAGAATTGAGGAACATAAGAAAGCAGACACACCGGTAGGCCTCCACCTTAAGCAATGCCAACTTGAGGGAAATAGCGCAGATCTTAGTTGGGAAATTATAGATAGGTCAAACAACCAAACAAAATTGCTAACACTAGAGGCAATACATATCAGGAAAGAGAAACCGGGCTTGAACACGCGCGATGAGTTTAGGAGCAGGGAGTTAACACTGAAAATTTAGTCCCAAAATATTTTTGGTTTTTTATTCAAAACGTACATGTATAAATCGAAATTATGACTCAGAAACTTCCAGACAAATTAATTTTAAAATGTTTAATTAATTTTAGAGGTTAAAAGTATTTTAATCTTAAAAGTAATTTAGAGGTCAACTGTGATTGGCTAATTTTTTATCATGATGGTTTCGAACCAAATTGTATGTGATTTATTGTAAATAACATTTGTAAATTGATGTTTTATCGTCATTTAGAGTAGTTTATTGTAAAAATCCTGACGATGCACATAGTTGCGAAAACGTTTGAAATTTATTTTTTAGCAAAAATTTCTTACATTATTTACCTAATTCTAGAGTCGCGTCACTATGTGAGTACCTAATTTTATTTTTCGAGTGCATTTTATATAGCTATATTGAGATAAGGCGAGTTTTAGGTTGATCCATCTGAAATTCCACTGTTTCGGTTCTGGTTTTAC